GCAGTGAACCCAGGAAAAGTGCGGAGTGTCCCAGCTTTTCAGTTAGCTTTAGATTGACCCTATCTTTGACATATTATTATTATTCTTATTATTATCAGTTGTTATTGTTAGTATTTTTATTGGTATTATGAAAATTATTATGATTATGATTATTATTATGACTATTATTATTATGATTATGAGGATGAGTAAGTTTGTACAACCAAGCTGGAGGCCAAGATGGCAGAACCAACGGATGACATGGATTGGCTCTCCGAGTCTGGGCAGCACTGTGTTGAACGGTTTAGGGTTTAGGGTTTAGGGTTTAGGAAGCATGGGCCAGGGGACCACACTGGGTAGACTACTGCTGGCGACAGAAACGAACTAGTAGATCTCGACAGCGTAATCACCCAACCGTGCCCTTGCAGCCATATGCTGGAACTTCCAGTTAGAATGCCACAATGCATATAGCACCGTTCGCGGGGGCCTTCGCAAGTTGCATGTGAAGATCTGAGTGGAGGACTATGTCATCTCCGTCTTGAAGTCACAGACCTGGGTAGTTCCCATCCAGGAGGGTCGTGCGGGTGTGGATCGACAGAGCGGTAAGTAGGGTTTAGGGTTTAGGGTTTAGGAGTTTAGGGTTTGGGGTTTAGAGTTTAGGGTTTAGGGTTTGGGGGAAGGAGTTTATCGACAAGAATGCCATCCTCTTCGATGAGGCGGAGGCAGTGAAATGCCCAATCGAGATCTTTTCAGATTTTTTTCACAAGCCTGGCGCCTGGGGTGCAGGAGTCCATGTTGGAGCACACCACATGCCACAACAGTTTCAGGGAGTTGGTGTCCAATCTGCTTCTCTGTCACCTCATGGAGGCACGTCGAGCTTTGCAACCGGCTCCTGTTTCTGAGGTAGCTTGCTGAACACACCGCTCGTTCTCAGGTGTCGGTAACCGAAGAGCAGTTCGATCGCTTCTGCCAGACTGGCCTCACGAAGCACCGTTCCTTGTGACTTGATCGATGCATCGTGACATTTTGTGGTCGCGGGTTGTTGCCACATGTTGTCTTTGTATGTCTACGTGCATAGGCACCGTGCTCTGGCCGAACAGCTGCTGGCGGCGGAGGACTTCCTTACTTTCAAAGCAATGCGGCCTGCCGGCATTGCAGCCCTAAGGCTCGGAGTATGCCTGTTGCACAGAATCTCGAAGTGTTCAGCAACCTACAAGACATTCAGGTGAGTTTCCACTTGATGTTCTTATGCAGTTTCATCGAGGATGTCGAAGCATAATGCAGAGATCTGTCGGGCTGTGGCTGGTGCTGGAGACGATGTTGCATCTTTGGCCAAGGCAGTAGTGAGCCGCGGCAGCCTTTGGTGCACATCTCCTAATAGATGCCGAATCCTTGGCGGTAATATGAGCGTTTAGAGCTTGCCGAGGAAGAACAGCCTGCACGAGGGCATGCTTAGAGCAGACGAGTGGCAAATCTACGATGATCAGCTGCTTTTAGGTGCAGAAGGCACAGCTGTGGATAAGTTGGACTTCCTGCCCAAAGACATCCAAAGACTCCATTCCATATTTCTGCATACACTCTGTGCTTGGATGCATGTGGTCAGCATGGCTGTCGAGTGCCAGTCAGCGATGGCGACTTCTCAGCGCTGGAGTCCCTGGAGGCCGAGAGGGCAGCTGCGGTTCGAGGAGATGTGGGGACTTTGAAACAGGGGTACTGTGTAATCCTTTTGAAGGAAGCCCAAGTACCCGTTATATACCCCAAGATACTTTCTGGTAAAGGAACCCCAAAAAGGGTACCCCGATTTTCGGAAACCCCTCATGATGGAGAGCTCATTTTGCGTTGTGGCAGAATCGACCTCAACCTAGGATATTGGTATCCTAGGTTGGAGTCAGAGTAAAGGGGTTTCTGCTTCGAAGTCTGGGTGTTGTTTTTTAAGCTTATGGGATTCCCAGTGTTGGGAGACTTGTAGGAACTCGCAAGAAGGCGATCTGTCATCATGGATGGAAGGGAGCGGGGTGGCCGTGAGCTTGCGGTACAAGCGCAGCAGGACCTGTACATGTGTCGACAAAGAGTTCGGGCTCGAACCCCCTGAGGAAGGGCTTTCAGTCCCGATGGTAGTCCCGACAGTAATCTCAGCCAGTCTGCCGAGAGAGTTGCATGTTTGGGCCTGAAGGCCCAGAAAGTGTTTAACGGGTGCCACGAACAAACAGCCCAAAACACGACTTCTGCGCTCCGTGATCAGTCAGACAGGGGTCCCCTGGTCAGCATCTCGGTTTTCCATTTTAGAACCGGCAAGAGGAGCGCCAGAAGTACCCTTGCTGGCTCTCTTCAACAGGGACCTTATTAACAAATCTATATCCCCAAGGGTCCCCCCAATCCTATTCCCTAGCAACATGCCGACTAGAACTGCGGCTCCGGCTTTTGTCGCAGGCCCAGTCCAAACGAGAAGAAGCAGAGCTGCAGCAGGCACGGCGTCGGGATGTGGTTCTTGCAGCTGTGCTGTTTCCATGAGCCCAAAACGGTTTAGGGTGTAGGGTCTAGGGGTTTAGGGTTATGACACCGAGTTCTTTGCACAGGCCATCGCGCTTTCTCTCAGCATCGAGGAGGAAAGGTTGAGGCAAATTGCAGCCAACGAGGCCCATTTCTGTGGATTGTTCGACTTGCCATGCACAGCTGACAGTGTGCAATGTGTCAGGAGGTTCCTTTTTTGTTGGAATTCTTGTTTGTTTTTTGCTTTGGGATCTTGTCTTTATGGTTTGGCTCCTGTCCCAGACGCGAATTCTCTACAATATTGATAGGAAAACCTTCATTTTCTTCATATTTGAATCGGAAAGCCTTCGTTTTCTCTACATAATCATAGCAAAACACCTCCACTTTCTTCATTTTTACTAGGAAAAGCTCTATAGTCTTTATACTTGAACAAGAGACTTCAGTTTGAATGGGACAACCTCTGTTTTCTCTCTACATTTTCTTGTGCGCTCCGTGCATATGACAAGGAAATCTCTTTTCCCTCTACATGTACAACAGACAGCTGGCCAAAACGAAATACAGAACAAGTCAACATAACGCTGGCAGGACGTCTTTGGAAGGATTGTACCGTCAACAATGAGTTTGCCTATCACAAAATAAAGACATAAGAGGTGTTCCTTTTGAAGTATAGAGAAAATCGATGTTTCCCTGTTGAAAACATCCAGGTTTTCCTTTGAGCATTAATATATAGAAAACTTCGAAACATGGAGAGAACAGAGCTTTGCCGATTAACATATAAATCAAGTATAGGTTTTCCTCTAGAAATGGAAGGAAAAGGTCTAAAAAGAAAGGAGGGACAAGGTTGTATTTAGAGGCAGAGCAAAAAAGAGGCTTCCGATTAAACTATAGAGAACTAGCATATGGGACAAGAGCCAAACCCAAACACGCAGAAAGTCCCAAACATGGAAAGTCCCAAACAAATTTTCCAGCCCAGTGTCAGGATCACAACATTGCAGAGACGGCCCCTCCAGTCCCTCCAGTCCCTCCTCCACCACCGGGTGCAGGGTTTACATCGGCTCCGCTCTGTCACCTGCCTCCCAAGCCGCAGGCTACGGGCCCCAGGGGCCCCAGTGGCCCAAGTGCTCGGCTTGTCCAGACGGAGCCGATGAAGCTACCCAGAAAGCCTTGGGGCTTCACGTCAGCTCCGCTTCTTGCGCGCCCACCGCCCAGCGCAGCAGTCGCGCCGCCAAGCACGCCAAGCACGCCAAGCACACCCAGCGTACCAAGCAGCGACCCAGCTCCAGCTGCGATCCCAAGGTTACCAGGCCGCGCGGGCTTCACGTCTTCCCCACTCTGTACAGTGCCACCGAAGCCTCGAGTTGCAGTGGGAGCCCCCACAGATGCTTCGCCACCCCCACCACCGCCACCCCCTCCAGCCGAAGGTGCTGAGGAGGGAGCTGCTGATGCTGCGATTTCCTCATCGTTGCCATCCTTGCCTCCGGTTCAGACTTTTCGCACCAACCTGCAGATGTGGAAGCGCCGCGCCTCTGAAGCGGTGCAGCCGCTGCCAAAGCAGCTGCGGGAAGCCAGAAGCAGAATGCTCTCTCCTCCCTCGTCGCCCAAAAGTGCGGCGGGCGATTTTTCTGTCCCGTCAGAGGACGCTGTCTGATATGTCTGATCTCAACCGCTGCAGAGAGCAGGATCTCGCTGATGGTTCTGCCATGTGCTGCTTCTCTGCAGGAAGAGCGCCAGCAGCGCGCTGACCATCTGCGGCGGCAGCGGGATCGCCTCATCGAGATGCGTTCCAAGGTCGTGTTGATGCACTCGGGGAGCTCATCTCCTTCTTGACTCTCGTGTGGGGCTTTGCAACGTTTTGCAACTTTTTGCACTTGGTCTTCAGGACCGCGAGCGGCAGCTCTCCGAGCTTGGGTGTGCCGGCAGTGCCGATGCACACCACGGGGACATGGAGGTGCAGAGTCGGACATCTTGTTGTGTTGCATGATTGGTGCAGTTGGGTTCTGAATGAACGTTCGCCTACAAGTCGAGCTCGGTAGTGGTCCCTAGGCCTTACTCTTGGAAAAAGTTTTAGGCATGGGCGGCCCTGGGCCGACGGCGCGTAGCAGAGCTCAGCGGAGCGCGCCTGGCCGACGAGACGGCGCCCTCGAGCGCCCAGCCTGAGGCGTGCGGGGTTTCTCCAATCCTTTGCTTTCTTGAGAGGAATCCTGGGACCTAAGAGGGTGTGTGTCTGTGTCTGCGTCTGACTCCATCCATGCCTGCAGTCGGCTGAGAAGCTTCGACAAGCACTGACCCGGCAATTGCTTCAAAGCCTTGCACAGTCCATGGTCAGTGATGCTGATGTACTCGATGACCAGCTGCACCAGCTCGAAACCATGCGATGGTCTGCCGCATGAATCGCTTGCGATGTGCAACCTGGACAACGAAAAGAAGCGTCTTCCGACAGCCGACTCATGACTTCAGCGATGTGCTGCGTGCTGTCCGGATCTGTGTGGTCCCCAAGCAGTTGAAATAAGATGAGCATACATTGGCCCCAGGCTTACATGGACCTCGCGATCGGCAACAAAGCCTGGCACACAGAGGCAGGATGGGCGGAGGGCAGAGGGTTGTTTCCCGCTCATTATGTCATTGCATGTCATTGCCATTGCCAAACAGCAAGTACCGTTGCTAGCGTTTGAAGGTCCCGACTCTGATGGAAGGCGGCATGGACGGCCTCACAGGCATTGAGCGTGGGCGCATGTTGGACGCCCGGACATCATTCGACTCCGCAACATTTCTCAGCCGTTGCTTTCACTGCTGTTGCTTAGGGCGTTCAGATGTATCTAGGGCCAATTTAGGGTATGTCCCAAGGTGGAAGCAAGTCTGGGCCTTACACCCACCAGAAGACCGTGGCTCGTTGTTGTAGCCACTGCTTGTCAATGGTACTGCTCCCAAGGTTGGCTGAGAGTAAGTTAACCCTGCGAGTATTACCAATACTACTATTACGATTACTTCGATTATTGCTAATTATTGCCATTACTATTATATATATATATATATATATACAAAACGGGGGACCGTGGGAGTGCGCTTTCCGGCTATTTTTCCTTACACGATACATGCTTTTCATACGAAAAAACGCAGAAAACTAGAAAAACTTAAAAAAAAACCTCGGAAAACTATAAAAGAATGCAAAAACTCGAAAAAAAAAAAACAAAAAAACCAAAAGAACCAAAAGAACCAAAAAAAACAAAAAAAAGCAAAAAAACCAATTTCCAGGGACTCTTCCATCCAGGGCCCCATCCAGGGCCCAATCTGCAGGAGTCCTGGAAATTTTTTTTTTTGGTTTTTTCGATGAAAACTAGAAAAAATGCAAAAACTCGAAAAAACTCGACAACACCAAAAAAACCAAAAAAACCAATTTCCAGGGACTCTTCCATCAAGGGCCCAATCTGCAGGAGTCCTGGAAAATCGTTGTTTTTTTTTTCGAGTTTTTTGCTTTTTTTCTAGTTTTCTGAGTTGTTTATAAGTTTTTCTGGACTCTTCCATCCAGGGCCCAATCTACAGGAGTCCTGGATTTTTGATTTTTTTTTTGTTGTTTTGTTTCTTTTGGTTTTTCGATTCTCCAGCGCGGGGCTTCCGGAAGTCTCCAGTAGAATACCTCGCGCGCGCCGCTTCCGGAAAAATGAAGGACAGCTACTGGGACAACCTACCGATGATGGATTTGCCCCCCCCCCCCATAAGCAAGACCACACGGTGCTCATATTTTGCGAAAGCTTTTGCTGACTAGTGTGTTTCAGTGAGACAGGTGTGATAAACATCTGCACTATGAAAAATCCACAATCAGTATGTATAAACATCAAGGCGACTTGATTGAAAAATCTTTGTATCATAGGGTGCCTACCGTTATGGCTTGATATTTGCTTTCCTTCATGCAGGGTTGGTTTAATAATTTGATTTCTAAGCTAGCTATTGTTCTAGCTGTTTCTTCTAATATAGATCTTCTATACTTGCCCATTTTTTGAGCAGAGTTTGCCCATACATAAATATCTTGTGATTTATCTTGTTCCCTTTACTAAGAGGAGCTTCTGTAAGAGTTCCAAGCGCGTTATTTGTTGGAGTTTTTAGTATTTTGCTTTAAGCATTTTTTAAACTCATTATTCAAGATATATAAATTTGTATGATAAGATGGGATAACAAACTCCCATCGACAAAAATGATGCATGATTATTACTATACACATATATATATATAATATCTGAGTTTAAGGCTCTTTGTCTTATGGACTGATCTATAATTTATTAGGAAACTGTTAATAGTGCAGTAGAGTGCTCTCTTGATTATTTGCCGCATCTAAAGTGCTGTGCAAAAGTCTACTATAGTAATAGGCTTTCAGAATGAATTTTTCAGTATCACTTCAAATTTGAGCACAACTTGTATTTGCTTTGTTAAATGTATATGTTATAAAAAAGTCCAGTCCATTCTAGCCTAGCTTCTTTAGCTTCATTTTTTGGCTAGAGGTTTTGTGAGATATTTATGCAGTAAAATTGCTGCCAGAATAATGTTTCGTGTAGTTAGAGGCGTTAAATAATGTCAACTTCTTTATTGTATGTATGGTGTTTGTGAGTTTTATTGCTCTTTCATCTATAGACACAGATTCACCTACATGTATTTTTGCCGACATTCGTAAGTTTACATGCTTTTTGAGTTACAGGAATCATTCATTGGTCATTCCCATAGCTTGTATATGCATCTCAGATAAACCGTTGTTTTATAGAGTTGCAGGTGTGAACTCTGCTGTAAAAGTCTGTTTTTTTTTGTGAACAAAACACGGTGTTCCGATGCAACGTGTTACAAAAGCCATATTGATGCAACCCAGGTATTCGTCCACCAGTCACGTATTCAACCCCCCTCGAAAAAGCAATACTGAAGAGCTGCATTGACCCCATACCATTCAGCAAGACTAATAAAAAGTAACTTGTCCCCTAATAACTCATTCACTTCCTGATAAACAAGACTTGGAACTTACACTCATCCCCCAATAAGCAAGACTTGATATCTATATTCACCATCCCGATATGCAAGACTTGAAATCATAATAGCCACCTTCATAACGAATTCACCCTCAATAAGCAAGACTTGGAATCTATATTCACCAAGTAATAACAAGATTTGGAATCATGGTAGTCTCAGTCTATTGGGTTCTATACATTCACTATTTGATAAGTAGACTTATAGAATTTATTCGGGTTGGGCGTTTCTATCTACAGTAGTGAGTTGTGTAACATGGCAAACCTCATGAAACATAAAAAAAACACAAAAAGTGCACTCCCACAGTCCCCCGGACTCCAAAAAAAAAAAAAATATATATATATATATATTCATATTATTGCCATTATTCCTATTATTCTACTCTAGCTTTTATTACTAGTATTACTATTCTTTCTAGTATTACTATGATTACTATTATTACTAGTATTACTATCATTGCCATTATTTCTATTCTTATTCTTACCATTGTTTCCATTATTATTATTGTTACTCTGATTACTCTTATTACTCGTATTACTCTTACTACTAGCCCTAGAAGACCGTACCCTCTGATGAGATTGTGTTTCTAAAGCACATCAGTTTGGCCGACCATCCATAGCTTTTGTTGGTACACCTGGTATGTCGGTGGGTCTTGCCGCCGGCGCTCGCAATGGCAAGAGTTTCAGGTCAATCCTAATGTCAAGGACAGGTACGGTCGAGTTCCGGTCGTTATAAAAGATGAACCGCTCCCAGGCTCGCACGGCGCAGCGGTTGAATGCTGCCAAAGCCA